TCTCTCTCTGTCTCTCTCTCTCTCTCTCTCTCTCCTCCCCCCTCCCAATAAAGCTCTAGAAAGGTAACCATGGCTTGTGATTCTTCCAATCAGCACTCTCCACCAGCATGGCCAGCAGCGTAACCAACATTATCTACTAATTTATCTTTGCTACCATGCATCAGCAATTAAATTAGACATGAAGGCATGTACACATTAGCAGTGTTTTCCACAGGGGGCTATGATACAACACCCTTCATTCTGTGTGCTCTTCTACCTTGTTCTTGATATTCTTCAGTCAGAAGTGAAATCTGTTCTTCCTGCCAAATGACCCTAGACTTGTTGTGGCTGAGGTATCAGGGCTGAGTAGCAAGAAGTGGGGTTAGTCTTCCTGTGCCTGGCAATTGTTACCATTCCAGAGAAGGTGGGACCTGGGAGAATGGAGCCAATGAATAAGGCAGACTAAAGTCTCATGCAATAGCCAACTTTATTCAGAGCCTTGGGCAATTTATACTTTGAGGGTAAAAAAGGTCATTTGAGTAAAGGTCATGTGAGTTCAGGCTCTATACAATCACAAAGACAAGCCATGTGTGGCAAAAACTTGTTTTTCCATGGAGGTTCAAAAAGGGTTGTTTAAACGTTATCTGAATAATAATAGCAAGTGGTGATGGGTAATCTGTAGCAAACCCACTCCCACCTGGGAGGAACATGAAAACACATTACAAGAACAATTGAGTTTTGAAGATACTGGGGCCACAAGACTATTGTCCTGTTTTCCTGGAGTGTTTTCACAAGCACTCAGAATTCTCCTCATATGACTCTATCAGTTATTTATTAAGGGGCACTGTTTACTGTATGAGAGAAGCCATGAGGCACAACAAAACCCACTATAAGAGTTTATTAAAGGAAGGGAATACAAAGGATGTGCATAAGCCTATGGAATGATGATGCAGGAAGAGAGGGAAGGAATAGGTGGAACCTCTTCATATCTCTCTCTCTCTCTCTCTCTCTCTCTCTCTCTCTCTCTCTCTCTCTCTCTCTCTCGGCGAGTGGCTAGAAATTCTAACACCATCCGTTCCTGGACCATGTTCCATGAGGCAACTTCTGTTTTTTGCTTTTTGATATATTCAGCTTTGTAATCTATTTGTTTATTTTGAGTTATGTCCTTCATAATACTTATGATCATCTCAGAAATTATATATTCCCTAGTTACATACTTATTTGTTGTTGCTTCTTCTACAAGAATATCACTTGTCTCTCACCACCAAATTTCTGCTATGGATTCTGAATGAATGTAGGTGCAGTAAAGAAACTAAAATAGCCACTCGGTGGGAAAAAAGGGAAAAGTTGTTTATCCAAACTGCCATGCTGTCTCCCAAAAAAGCAAGGAGAACCCACAGGGGGGAGATTTCCAGGGCTAAATGGGACCTGAAGAAAGGGGGGTTGACAGCTGATGTGATGCTTGTGAGCAGGGACTGTGGGAGTCTAGATCTTGATAAGCTAACCAGCACCACATTCATATGCTAATTGAAGAGCCACAAGTTCCTCTTGGCAGAGATAAGGAGAATGACTCTCCTTTCTTTAGCAAGTAAGAACTTTCTTCAAGCCCCTGGGGCAATGGTGGTTTTTGTCTAAATTCTTGACATTGGGAAAAGGAATTTCCTGGGGGACCAGACAAACACAATAAATATTCATTGAATCAAGACAATAATATCTGTAAATAAAATTTAAAAATGAAGTGGCCCTGAAATTGCCCAGTTCAAAGTACCATAGTCAGTGTTACTTTAAGCCTGGGCTGAGGCACTTTATTCTTGAAGCAGGGACCACTAATGTTGTAAGATGGAGGAGACTCCCAAGGACCAGCTAACATTCCAAGAATGAGCACCTGATAGCTTAGAACTTTCTTTCACTATTGCGTTGAGTAAAAAGCTTCAGAAAAAAATTTTGTTTTCTTCAACATGATATATATACATGGAATTCTGACAAATAAAAATAATGCAACAATTACCACAAGTAAGAATTTGTCAGCTTCATCACCAACAAAGTAACATGTTCTATTTTCTAGTGGGGGTATAAATAAATACATTTTCTGTAAGAGTGAAAACTGGCAGACAAGATTATGTCAAATGATCTGCATGGTAAAGAAAATAATACAATGAAGAGACAATCTGAATAATGAAGAAAAATATTTTCAAACTATTAATCTGACAAAGGATTAATATCCAGGATTTGTAAGAGACTCCACAACAAAAGATTTAAAAATGGGAAAAATGATCTGGACATATGTTCCTTAGTAGAATTTACACAGCTGTCCAACAAATATCAGAAGAAATGCTTGATAGCACTAATCATCAGGGAAATACAAATCAAGGCCATAGTGTGAGAGCATCTCATCCCACACAGAAAGGCTGTTATAATAACAGATGCTGGTGAGAACGGGGCAAAGAACAATGCTCACATGCCATGGTGGGGGGGGGGGCAGTAATAGAGTAAAGTCACCATGGAATGCCCCAAGACACTAAAAATAAAACTACTACAGGATCCAGCAATTCCACTGCTATCTCTGCATCCAAAAGAAATCAATATGTCAATAAGAAAGCTACATCCTCATGTTTATTGAAGGGCTATTCATAGCAGAAAGATCTGGGGATCAATGTATTTGTCTGGCAGATGAATGACTAAAATACTTTTGCAATAAAACATTGTTAAGCCACAAAAAAAGAATGAAGTTGCTATTTGTGGTAGTGTGGATGCAGTGGTAGGATATTATGTTAAACACAGAAAGAAAATACCACATAAGTCATCACTCACACCTGGAAGCTGAAAGCATTGATTTCACAGTGGTAGAGATTAGAAGAGTGGTCATTAGAGGTTAGGAATGGTAGCCAGGAGGAAGGATCCAGGAAGACTAGATAATGAATGCTGAAATGCAATTAGTATAAATAACTTCTAGTGTGCCACAATACTGTGACTGAAATCCACAGCAACTTCTAATATGTTTTCATATCAGAGAACTAAAAGGGCTGGACTTGAACTTGACA